GTTACAATCTATCTGAAATATTAAAGCTGATCTACCCCCTAAAAAATAAAAAAAACCATCATATTAAATTGAGGCTTCACAAAGCATTTATAACCTTGTCATGCAATTTGGTAGAGCATTGCAACACCAGGATAGTGGGTTCGACTCCCGGGACCACCCATACTTAAAAGTATATATGCACACATGAGACTGTAAGTCACTTTGGATAAAAGCGTCTGCTAAATGGCATATATTATTTTGTATTATATTACTCTAAAGCAAATATTTCACCTTCTTTATTACTTTATAAATGATAGTCAAAATGTTTTAATTTGTGAAATTCTAGATCAACATTTGGGCCATTTAAACAGAGTGCATCGCTCCTATTGACAAGGGGGAAAGGGCCATGAAAAAGGCTATTTTTCTTAATTCTGATGACTCTGGGTAAGTACAAAAACAACCTACATCTCAAAATCTCGCAGTATCCTTTTAAAACAGTGCTTTACGTGCCCATTCAGTGTTTATGTTATGTTAGCTCACAAAACAGAATAACCTTTAAACCTTCATAAATAAAGCATTACATTGAGAGGATTTGCTTGATATTGCCAAGTGCTGGAGTTATGTAGGCCTAATGTGTGACAGGTTGCAACACGACACCTAACTTGAAAGATCAAGTGTTTTAAGCACTCCAGCTTCCACTGTAACAAACCATGCAATCATTACAGATAGCTTTTCAAAGAGCATACATCTGCACCTAATTAAATGTTATTTCCATGCCTGTAATTTATTCCGTAACATCCCAAAGTTAGGAGAAAAAGGTTTAATAAAATACACAATATCTATCACGCCTCATGAAAAGACCCAGATGCAGACAGTTCGAATAACGGATGTTTATAATATAAACAGGGGGCAGGCAAAGGACAGGTCAAGGGTAGGCAGAGGTCGGTAGTCCAGGGAAGAGTCCGTAAGGTACAGAGCGGCAGGCAGGCTCAGGGTCGAGGCAGGCAGAGGTCAGTAATCCAGGGCAGTGTCAAAACGGTACAGAACGGCAGGCAGGGTCAGGGCAGACAGAAAGATCAAAAGAGGGAAAACTAGAAAACAGGAGTATGAAAAACACACTGGTAGGCTTGATGAGACAAGACGAACTGGCAACAGACAAACAGAGAACACAGGTATAAATACACAGGGGATAATGGGGAAGATGGGCGACACCTGGAGGGGGTGGAGACAATCACAAAGACAGGTGAAACAGATCAGGGTGTGACAATATCATTATTAGAGCCAGTGGAACCATGAATAAACAACTGGTCGAGTGCTCTGCTCTGCTCACTCCCCCACTTGTCTCAGATCTACCTCCCTGGCAGGCTTGTCAAATGAGGGATGACACTAATCATGTTAAAGTGAGATGGGCTGGTGGGATTCTCCTGGCTTTGATCAGAGTAATGACATTTTTTCTAATCAGCCTGATTCACATGCATTTCCCTGTTTGCCTACGTTACCAGTTCACTCCATTTTTCTGACTGGTGTATTTCCCTCTTATACCATAAATTAACTATCCTCTCACCCCCCTCCTCAGCCACTCCAGACAGGTTCAGATTAATCCTCATGGTGTGTAAAGGTGTTAAAAACAGCAGGTTTGAAACAGAACATGAGATAAGGTTTAGAATGAGTCATTGTCAACCTTACAAAGGTTGATTTTGGCACATTGTGACTAATAACATGGACTTGAGTATTCATTCAGCGTCACCACCATGACATGTCCATGATCATCCTCTCCCACTGCCTCCCTCGGTCCAGACCTATCTAATTAACACTGGGAGAGCAGTTAGTTACTTTCAGGAAGTTTCTTCTGCACTCTGACAAAACAACCGAGCTCTGGCCAGGGCACGACTCCAGATATCTATTCCCACAAACAAGTAGTGATGAGTTTGTCAGGGCACAGTCATTTCACTGGATCTGTGGAGGAATTGGATGTGTGAGTGCTTAAGTGTAGGAGAATGTGAAAGTTGGGGTTGCTTCGGGCTGTGGTTGCACAGAGCCACTTGTCTTGAAGCTTTGTTTTTGGGGAGCTCGTCTCTGTAGTTTTCCCTGTGCAACAGTCCATTATTTGCTCTGGCTCGCTCTCCAGAGCCCACGGGACTACTCCTGTCCAGATCAGCATGCTGATACAAATCTAACAAATTACTGCATGCAAAAAAGGCCGGGCAGTGGGAGCGAAAGGGGCTGAAGACTATATTTATCCCATGTCTTATTCACATAATGTGACTCATGTGGAAAATCCATCTTTGCTCTTCAGTGTCAGCTTTTGTGAGGAACATTACACTTCAGTTGGACAGTTGCACCAGTCCCATATCTAGAGAAAAACAACTTGGGTGAAAGAATCCTGTAAAAACACATGAAGACTTCACTTATGATTGGAGAGTGTGATTTGGAGCCTCCTAATTGAAATTGCTACAGCTCCAGGTGTTCCCCCTGCCTCTCTTCCCTTCCCCTGTATTGACATTGGCAGGCTTGACACAAGGCCAATATGAGTGTGACACTTGCAGAATCAAGCTTCTATTCATGCATGCAGCCACTCAGGCCTACAGCAGAGAGTGTGGAACCCCAAGGGGGAGTTGGTGATTATTGCCAGGCGGTTTTTTGATTATATGAAGTCTGCTCTCTTGTTTTGTCTGTGATTCTTATTGGGTTTTGGACTTTTTCTTGAAGTTGGACTGCTATTCATGGCTCACTCTGAGTGTGTTGGTGAATATGCTATGTCGAACTCAGCCCCAGTAGACACTTTAGACTGTGGGTAAAGGAAGACCACTAACATACAACGACTGGTCAATGTGCCCTCTCCTAATGACCAATAACCTTGTCCCATTCTGTCCATTCTGTGAAGATGAGTTTTAATGGGGTCACCTTGTCACCTAATTCAACATTCAACTGCTGTATTTCATCCCTTCATTGGGCTTGAGTGTGTCATTGCTCAGTCCCCGACTCAAGCATTTGATCAATCATCATCTTATAGACAACCCTTAATTGTCAAGCGATGCACAGTCTTTCAAAGTCTATTTTTTCATCTGTATGTTCTCTGCTGATGAAAAGATCTCTGTTTTACAAATTGTTTGATGTTCTAGAGATGACATTGTGAACCCATTACAATTTGTGGTTTCTGAATTTGAGGGATATTTAAAAGTGAGGGAGGAATATAGACAGGATTTGAAGGGATATTTGATTTTAACTTTACTCTTTGCTGAAACTGCCTGGATTTGCTGACAGGTGCGGATATCAGAGCTAAGACGTATTACAGGAGAGCAAGTGTTCTCTGTCTTCTACAATTATTCAGAAATTCTACCAAGACTTGCATATTGTAAGCATGAGCAAGTAACTCTCCTATGCTACAGTACATTTTCTAAACCACCATCCACCCTCTCCGCCTGTGCTGTGTTAGCCGTTGATTGCTGTGACCTTCAGTCTTTACTGACCTTTAAATGGCCACCTCTTTCTCTGCAGGTGGCTAGTGGAGAAGATGTCTTGACCCAGATATTTCTTATTGACTATAGATGCCCACGTCTCTTTCTCGCTCTCTCTCTAGGTGGCTAGTATAGGAGTATCTTACTGACCTTACATACCTAACTTCCCTCTCTGTAGGTGGCCAATGGAGGAGTATTTAAATGTCCCTCTCTGTAGGTGGCCAATGGAGGAGTATTTAAATGTCTCTCTCTGTAGGTGGCCAGTGGAGGAGAATGTCTTACTGACCTTGGATACCTGCCTTCTCTCTCTGCAGGTGGCTAGTGGAGGAGATGTCACCCAGGGGCAGGTGGAGATCTTCTCCTTGAACAGGCCCACTCCACGCCCAGTGAAGAGCCTCCAGGTGGGGGCCCCAGTGAGGTGTCTGGAGTATGTGCCTGAACCCAGCCCCCCAGAGGAGATGGAGGCTGCAGCCCTCAGGAGCCCTACTGGGGTGGGGAACACCATCTGTCTGGGACTGGACGATGGAAGGTGAGGTCAACACAGCTTTTAGAGAAATTGTAAAATACTATAGTGTAAATTACATTTAAGTAATGTGGATGAATGCATGGATGGATGATGATGATGATACAGCAATATTCTTGTATTTATTATTGTTGGTCACCACTATTATCCTACTTACAAAGTATATTTGTTTTCACAGCGAGTCATATTCTGTATTCAACATACAGTATAGTATGTTAGGTTTATCTCAGACTAGCAAAATCTGTCAATAGTAGATGGGACCAAGAAATCAGAGTTGATTTCATATACCTCGAATCCAGGTGCACACCCATTTCTTATTTTCAGATTTCTACTGCATGTAATGGAGGAATAGTTTAACCTCAGACTGTCACAGTCCTGGTGATTACATTACTTTCTTAGAGAAAACAGTCCTCTTGCATCTCATATTGCCAGTTTACTGTAATTATTTTCCTCTGCAATTTTTTTGTTATTCATTTGGGCACCAGAATAAAATGAAAAGTGTGCAGTTTATTTGTTTATGTTTACTCATTCACTCTATTTGTCCTGAGAGGAGAGAAAAGACAAAGTGTAATAAAAGCACAATTTCAGCATTTATTTTTGCGGTACACAATCGACTGTCAACTCCAAAGCTAGTTAACGTTCTCTTTCGAGAAATAAATACATTTTTCCAAAGGTGTGCATTTGTCACTGTAAAGGAGAAAAAATGTGCAGCACAGTCAGTGAAGTTCAGATGGAATCTTAAACATGAGAAAGAGCGAGGGGCTGCACACACACACAATACTGAAGCTCCAAAGTGCCCAGTTACATCAAGGTACTCAGTCTTCATAAATGATGTTCATTTATCATGTACAGTGTACATTGTTCCCGCTCCTTTTGCCACCAGCATCCTGGTGTATGGCAGTGTGGACACTGCAGCCCAGTGCCTGTTGACCATGCGTAACCCTCAGCACTGCCCTGTCCTGTGCCTCAAACACTCCATCAACTTCCTGTTCGCTGGGCTCAGAGATGGAACCATGATGGTGTATGGACGAAGTAATGGAGGTAAGGTCTTTCCAAGGTCTCTCCCTGTATGTCACAAAGATAGTCATCAGATTTCAATCCAAAATGACAGAATTGTTGAATCATCACATTACTAACATAGCAATTTATTTAATGTTATCTACCTAGAAGTATATGTTTCAAGCCATCACCATTATAGCAAGGAATGCAATCGCAGCACAATTAAAGCAGGAGAATGGAATAATTTTATAATTATGTTACGCCACTAATGCTCTTAGCTAGTAATTGATATTAATTCAGGTAATCATTTAATTCACTCATTAGCCTACTGTAGCAACAATGTTTAAGGATTGTATTATCTTGTATGAAATGTGACATTAAAATTGAATTGTTATTTTGTTATTAGACATTATTAACAGGGCTTGTATCTGTAAAAAAATTAAACGGCTTTTGATTAAGTAAACAATCAAATGAGTAGTGCAAATATTAATCTTATTGTTTTCTTGTTTCGATTTGTACATCTGTCAAATGCTCATGTATGCATTTTTCTTCTGCAGTGTGTGAGAAATATCATTTCTGTCATGCATTCAGTCTGCTTGCAGAGACGTGCTATGCGTGATAGGATTTTCAGGGAATCCATCAAGTGGATGCATTTGCAAAAAGCAAATTAATTTCAGACTAGCAACCTTGGAAAATATTTTTTATACTTAAAATACCTATTTTCATGCCTATTCTTGGTGATCTTCACTACCAGTTACTGTAAGGAAATGACACCGGAAGTCACCATACAGTGGTTGGCGTGCTCATGTTGTGGTCAGTCAGGCATATCATAGGGCTAGGAGCACCATCTCAACACTCATTCTCCCAGTCAGTCACCACAGCCTGCGGGAGCACATTGGCTCTCTCACCGCCCGGTTGCGGTGCGGTGCGTCTTACCTGGCTGTGTCAGTGTGGCTGCCTGCATCCGCCCAGCACTGTGCTCTCCTCTCACCTCCAGCCAAGCAGAAAGGATGATTAATTACGGCAGTGTGCTGCATGCTGATTAAATATTACTATTCATGTTATGTAAAATAAATAAATAATAAAGAGGTAGAAGACAGGGAAGAGCGTGGATGGTGCCAGGCAATGTTTGTGCATTCTGCACAGCTGTTAAAGATTGATGCCCCTGGATGGCACACTACTGCCTGGAAACCATGTCTGCAAGAGTAGGAAAATATAAACTCTTCATATGGAACTTCTATCAAAACGCATATGAATAGCCTGCCCAGCACATTGTTGCTTAGTGGAAAATCCCAATTTATTTTCTCATATAAATATAATTCATACTCTTCATAGAGTTGAAGGTCTGGGCTTCAGAAACGTATTTAGAAAGTCTTTTGATGGTCTGAAACCGTTTTTGATCATTTTCCAGTGTTTTGCATGGTTCCTACTGTGGTGCGTGAGGTAGAGCTGTGACATGGCCAAGGCTTGTGCATGGGACTAGGGGGACTTAAAAGAAAGTGAATTTTAAAATGTGGAAGAATGACATTTAGAACACGCCAAGCAATTAACCTGAGGAAGTTAGAAGGCATTGTGAAGCTATTCTGGTTTGAAAGGCATGAAATAAACAACTCAAAATGTTAATTATATGGCTGGGTGCACTTCCTTCTCTAATTTTGCTTCATTAAAGCACCGCAAAGGAAAAGCTTATGTAAGGCGCTTCATAATGCACTGCCATGGTAGCTGCAACGGGTGCTCCATGTTTACAACTCAAAGGAAAAATGTCTGCTAACATTTTCACACCGATGGGGGTGGAAATGAAGTTGCGATAAAGAAGTTAGGAAGCTGATTAAATAGTATGGCAGATTGTTTAGCACACAGAGACGAGTCTCAAAGCATAGTCCATAGACACTTTGTTTTTATCAAATTGTGATTCATGCTGGTTTTTGTGTATGTGAGTGCATGTGTGCGCACTGCGCATGTGCATGCTTAGTTGCACATGCACGTGTGTGAAACAGTAAGTGTAAGTATTTTCTTGTGTTTTCACTTTGGAATATTTGTCTAGAGAACACCAGGGCAAGTTCCTTGAGTGTAAGTAGAAGAAATTGAGTTTAATTGCCTTGCTCAAGGCAACAGCTGCTGAATCACCACACTGCGCAGTCAACCAGAAAGTGTTGCATGTATTTAGAACATAATCATAAACTGGTGATAACAAATCATGATTTTGTTAGCTGTTTTAACAGAGCTTTGTTTTGTCCTTAGTAAAGTAGGAGTTTAAAGTGTTCTGATTCTGAGCATTTGTTGTGTTGTGTTCTCAGGTGAGCTGTGGGAGCCAGACTCCTGCAGGACTGTGAGTGTGGGCCCAGAGCCTGTGCGAACTCTTCTGGTACTGGAGGACTCTGTGTGGGCCAGCTGTGCCAACTCTGTGACCGTCATCGAGGGCTCCAGCCTTTCCACCCAGGTACAATAGGAGATGCACCAAGTGCTTTCTAGTTTGAACAACAGCACACAAATACAAGCCTCTCGAAATGCTCCCGGAAAGCCTCTTCACCTCCGTCTTGCATCCTTTTCACAACTACTTAAGAGCAGAGGTTCATGCACAAAATAGTCTCAACAATTTCGACAATACACTGTCATTTCCTTCAACTGAACACACTTTATGTTGGAACTATAAACTATATTGGAACTCAAAACTACTTGAGTTCTACATTGATACTTTGAGCTAAAGTATTTGTGGGGATGTTGGCATCAGAATGAGCTTTCAGGCAGCAGTGGCTCTCTATGCTTGTACACTTTCCTCCCTGTTCAATCCTCTGGAGATCAGAGCTTAGCCAGCTGAGTGACCACGCAAAGGAGACAAGGTTCTGTCTGGCTCGCCCCAGCGTATCCCCCCTCCATGGTGAACAGGCGTGTGTGCTTGTGTCGGCGCTGGTTGCACCTCTCTTAGCCTTGTCTTCCTTACTAATGCATACCCTGGAGGGCTAACTTCACTGGGGCTGTGATGCGGTACAGGGATCAGGGAAGCAGTCCTTGCGGCCAGGACTGAGCCATAACTTCAAGATGGGGGGCGCAGGCCAGGGTCGTGATCACTCGGACTTACCCCTCTTCTACTTTAGTGGTCTAGCCCGGTTACCTAAGTCAGAACAGCCTTATTGTCAGCGCTGCTCTGTCTTGAATTGATGATCCTTAATAGAGCTGGCGGTTAACACGGAGGGCTACACTGCAGCCCTGTGGATCTGCATCCATCTCTCCTCCTTCTCCTCCTGTGTGTGTCTGTGCTTGAAGGGACCCTTGTGTGTGCTCTGCATTATGACAGAGCTCCAGGAATGAGCTAAAAAAGAGGGGTCTAAATTTGGCCTGTCGTCAGAGCCTGTGTGGATGCAGGGCCTTTCATCAATATTGATAGGCATGGCATGGCATGTCTCCTTCCCTCCCTCTCCTTCTCTCTAGAAGAGGGGACGATGCTTACTCCCCCTTCCTCTCCTCCCTGTCCTGCCCATGCCCACTCCCCTCCTTCCCTCCTTCACCTCCGTGGCTGTGTGACTGTGACTGTGGATTTGCTCCTCTCCTAAGAACAGACACCTTGTCACCCAGTGTAATGCAGCTGTTCAGGCGGTGGGGCTTTAGCGCTGGGGCTTTAGCCTGCAGTGATTCTCCCCTCTGCTGATGAAGGACTTGGGTGGTGCTGCTGTTTGTGTGACACTGCAGTGCTGGGAAGGGGCATATTACCTCTGTCACACTCTGCTACCACTCTCATGGCTGTAAGCAATGCAGAACTCATCTCACTAATACCAGTGTGTCAATTGGGTGAACAGTTGTTGCCATCACTTTATTTGACAGTGAGGAAAGAGTGCTCCACTACTTGTTCAGCATCACCATCCATTTTAGAAGAGACCTTAGTACCAAATATGTGCTCTATTAGGCTCTCCAGGCAGTATCACATTTTGTCAAGGCCGGCAGTCATGCAGCCCTGTAAACAGATCTCACTTCCACTAACCTCTTCTATTCAATTACCCTACTAGTTAATTCATTATTAATGTGGCTATGGCATTGTTTTACGTTTGGCCTCACTGGGATACAGGGGACAGATCAAATTGAAAGCAGTCAGATAATGACATATCCAGTGAAACATATGCTAGACAAGGTGTCATAATGACAGGGTGTCAGCCAACAATTAGCCTGTTAATTAACAATTGGTCTGTTCATGCCAAAATTACTGATTTAAAACCCCAAATGATTTCTCATGGTTCACTGACATTTTCAATGCTCTTTTAATTTGATATATTTAGTTAGTAAATTCTTTGAAATAGGGCTCTTTGAATTAAAATATTTTATAGAAAGAAACATTTTTTTTAAATAAGGTTTGAAAATGGAAGGGATGTGATTTCCTCTCTTCCTAGGCGGAGCAGAGCAGGCACCTACTGCCACAGAGTCAATTAAAAGAGAAAACACATCAAAGGGTTCTCTCCTCTCCCCGCTCTCAAACAAAGGAGGTCCCTCTGGCAAGGGCACACAAACAGGTGGTAATCCCCGTCCTCCGGTGCACAGGAGGGAGCATCCCTCCTCAGCCCTCTCTCTGACTAATCTCTCATCCCCCAACTCATGAACCGAGAGTGATAGGAGTGGGGAGACGATGCCAGAGCCAGCCCCTGTCATGGTGCAGACCTTGGGGGTAGCATGCCTAGCCATGATAAGGCGCGTTGCTCTTCCTCAGCTACTTATTAAAAATGTGTGCCTGAAACGCCTCCTCTTTTGCCGTGGTCTTGAGAAATCGGAGGGTGGGAGGATGATGTATACTGACACAGTAGAAAAGATGCCCCTGTCTGTGAAACATTGGTGCAGTTCATTACCATCTCAAGAGAGACACGCTATAGCCTTTTCTGGGTTGGTGCAGGGTTGTTAATATCCAGTCATCTGGCCTACTTGGGTTTTGTGAAAGAGCTCTAAAGAGGGGTACTCAAACCTACGCTCAGGCATTCTATTAGCCTTTTGTTAACAAGTAATATCCGAATGTCATTTGTTAATGGCGTTCATGTGTAATTCACTTCTTATGATTATGTCT